GATTCAGAAAACCTTGGAAAAACTACTGACATCTTAAATATGGTAATGATTTCCAGTCTGTCGGTCTAGATAGGGGTTTGGAGTTTAGGTCATGGTGTCTTTGTGTGTGTGTGTGTGTGTGTGTGTACTTCCTATACTTTTATAGGCATGAAAAATCTTTTTTGTTTTTCTTTCATGTTTATTTTTTTAACCTATTTATTGAGGTATAGTTTACATATGGTAAAATTTGTTTCACTCCTCTTATAATTAATCTGACCATTGAGAGTTGATTATATTATTTAAACTATTTTGCATCGTATTATATATACATTTTTAGAATATATAACTATTTAATCATATATATTCTACAATGTATTCTTTATTCTCTTTAGAGCATATTTTTGTTTGCTTATTTCAGACACATGTGATGAGCCTGAATTCCGATGACAAGACATTAAAATTATCACCAGTTCAAAAACAAAAGGTACAATATGGGGCATTATTGTCATTATGGTGGGTAAGAACAATTTAAGTTATTTCTTTTTTTGTTGGAAGATTTCTGGAAACAACTAAGGTAAGTGTTCATTTGCTTTAGAATTTAAAAGACAGAGAAGTACAGTGTAGGTAACTTCCATTAAGCTTGTTCTTTTGTTATGTCTTTTTGTGATGTAACAAGAATGATAAGAGTTTTACTGCTGGTATTTGTTCTTTAAGGCCATTAACTTAAGTCATAATGGCCATATTTTCTTGCCTTCAAGGCAATTGAGTCTGATTGCCATTCTGAAAGATAGGAAGAGGGTTATTAGAGTGGCTCTCTGCCTCTGGTTGAATATGACTTTGGTGAGTTGCTATGCTGACTTTAACTGAATGATAATAGTCTTTCTACCTTGAAAATTTTGTAATTTTAGTGAAAATATTTGATATTTGCCTTTCCAATGTTTGGATTGTGCTTCAATTTGTTAAGGAATTGATAACATAAGAACAAGATTAAAATAAGCAATTGGAAATTAGCCTGAGACGTTCATGGGTGAGAAACAGAGAGGTTTAATGAATAACAAATAAATAGCAAGAGGAAGGAATAGCCTGTGGCTTTTTACAACCTTGGAGAGATAAACGCCTGCCCTGAAATCCTTTGCCTTTCTTGGCTTGAAACGATGAGGGGCTTGGAGATTAAGAAAGTAAATTGGAGAAATGCAAATTGAGGGAAGAAAGCTATAGAAAATATTTATATTTCTAGTGCATTTGCCACATTAAGTTAAAAATTCTTAAATTCAAAGCCACAGAAATGCAAAATCTTGCTAAAGCTTAAAAATTCAGAGTAAATCCTCATTCGTCTTGTTTATATTACTGAGAGGCATGGTGAATAACAGCATCCCTTGGAATCTAAGAGAGCTGATCTCTTAACATAGTTGTGGGTGCTCTGTGAATACTGACAGACTGTACTGACTTATTGACTGACTGTGCTTCCAAGCAGATATATTTCTGGTGTCTGTCTTCTGTCTTAGATTCAGGGCTCTCTGCCTCTTCCACGCTGCTTTGATTGTGCTAGAGAAAGAAAGAAAGACACATGCATTTAGAAATATGAAAGTACACCAATTGAGCCTGTCTCTCTGAAGGCTCTTGAAAGAATTGTGACTTTTTGAAAAAAAGGACTTAAAACACAGAATAATATTTTCCAAAGGAAAGCACTTCTTTTTAAACTGATACATACATTTTATATTTCACCTAGTACTTTTAAATAGAGACTCTAACAACCTACTTTGTTGTTGTTGTTATGTGCCGTCGAGTTGGACCCGACTCATACCCCGACCCCTCCTTGGGTTTCCAAGGCAGTACAGCCTACTTTAGTGAATAACAAAAGATGCACTATATATAATATAGATAAACAATATATATTTTATATGTATGTTGTTGTTGTTATGTGCCATTGAGTCGGCCCCGACTCATAGCGACCCCTCCTTGGGTTTCCAAAGCAGTATCACTACGGAAGTAGGATTCCCTAACCTTATATAGTGAACTTTATATATATACATACACATACATATACACATACAATGAAAATTACTTTGTTAATTTTTTAACTTGTTCTGTTTAAATAATTTCTTTAGCAAAAAGTAAACCTCTTCCTACGACTGTCTCTCATCACATTTATAAAATTTGATTAAATGACATTGTACTATTCAGAGAACCAAATTCATTAGATATTTGAATCTGTTAGATTGTAGAATTTAAATTGACATTTTGCTTTTGCTTTATTTTGTTCAACAAGAAATCAATTTCATATTTTAATGTTGTTATCCACATATCCATGCTTAATTTCAAAGGATTTTTCTGAACAAAAAAACCTTAAATTTTACCTTAAATATTTTTCCTTAGTATTTTTTCTGTATGCAAAGTAATAACAATGAAAGACTATAATAAATAAAAAGTAAGACAGTCAAAATTTGAAAGCCCACATCAGATTTTGTTTTGAAAAAGAAAATATATTCATTATTATATAATATATAGAAAAAGAGATTTCATTTGGAGTGTTAAATTCAATTTTTTTTCTTCTAGAAATGTTATTTTTTTCAAGTTCTTGTATTTTTCAGTTTATTTTCTTTAATTGTGAATTTCATGGGATCAAAGAACAAATAAAAATTTAAAAATGAAAAATAATAGGGAAGATGGAAACAAATGAAACTAAGTGCAAGAAAAGTATAAATTTCTTAGACAGTGTTTTGCAAAGTCAATCTGGAAATGTATTATACTTAAGAATTTTTCCAGATTTAAAAAAAAGGGCTAGAATAAATAGTGACAGTGCTATGATTAATGGAAAAATTAAAGTAGGTAGTAAGAATTTGATACGTGTTAATAAAATCAAAATTAAATGTACTATAGGGTTGGAGAAGGAGTTCTGGTAGTGCAGTGGTTTAAACCCACCAGCAACTCCTCAGAAGGAAGGTTGGGCAATCTACTTCTGTAGTGATGCTGCCTCAGAAACCCAAGTTTCTATGAGTTGGATCTGACTTGATGGCATGTAACAACAACAACATAGGCTTAGAGTGGCATAAATTACCCCCAAAGAAAACAAAGCCTGAACAAATTGTTTAGTAAAACTGGACATTTTAATTCTTTTAGTGAAACCTATAAACCTGTAAAATCTTATCATTAGTTTTAAAGTAGATAAATTATCTTTGTCAGCTAATAGTAGAATGACGATTGCTTCAAAAATTTACAGAAACAAGAAAGAATTAAACTGGAGAAACATGCAGCTCAGACTGGAAATGATAATAATAATGAATATGAATCTGAAGAGATTTCCAAAAGAATGAAAGAAAGGAGAGCACAAAAACAACTTTTGGCAAAAGAGATGTTTATGGTGCCAAAAATGGCTATGAAAACATTTTCACATGAGAGCCTAAGTTGTGGCTTGGGCCAGTCTAGGCCTCAGGCCGACATTGATGAAGAGAATTTGTTAAAAAAGATACTTAGATATAAAAAAAAACTTGATACTTATTATCAACTTGCTGATCAGGACATAGAAAAGGATAATGATAGAGAACACAGTCAGAATGATTCAGAAGAAGAAGAAATATTCTTTGGGAATGAAACTGAGCTGACAGAAATGACAGGTTTGGAGGATACAAGAAAACTTGAAAAGAATATATGCAAACCTTTTCCATATTTTAAGGTCTTAGGAAATGTAGAAAGGAAACGTGAGATTAAAGAAAATAAACATTTGGTTAAGGATAAAAGGGATAAGCAATTTGTCATCTTTGACAATGAAAGAGAATCTCTTGAGCAAGACCATCATATGGAAGGTGATAGATTTGAGCAGCCTGAGTCCTTAGGTTTTAGAAGTGGAAAGGAAGAGGATTGCGAATTGGAGAATATGCATGTGAGGTATAACAGAGATTTTGGTCAAGAAAATGAGGAAGCGACTGAGAACAGAATACCAAAATTCATGGCAAAATTTAATTTTAAATGTGGCCACTTATCAAAGATTCCAGAGGAGCAAGAAGAAGCAAAGGATTCAGAAGAAGGTGAAATAGAGAAGGAAGAGATAGAGGTAAATGAGAAGATACTTGGAGAAAGAGAGAAGGAGAAAGCACGTAAGCTGTCAGATGATCGTACAGACAAAGGACAGGTGAGTGGAGGCAAGAAAAAGTCAGAGGAAGAGGCAGAAAATGTGCCTGAAGGTAGAAGTGATGGAATCTGTAAGGGGATTGATTCAGGAGCAGAACAAAGGCTAAGTGAGGAAAGGGAGGAGGAAGAGGAAGGGAAGGAGGAAGACGAAGAGCAGGGAGTAGCATTTAGAGAAATGGAGAGCTTGGGTAAAGGAGAGAAGGACCTAGAAAAAAAGAAGGAATGGGAGAAAAAAGATGAGGACGAATGGGAGAAAAAAGATGAGGACGAATGGGAGAAAAAGCAGGAAGAAGGCCATCAGGAAAAAAGAAAGAAAGAG